AAATTTAGGGACTATTAGTTCAGGGGTAAAGTCTGTATAGATTTTTTAAATGACAATTTTTGTAGAATGACAAAGACAGTAAAAACTAAACTCAACTGAACACAGAAACTAAATCCTAAAATACATCATTTAACATAACATACTTTTAAAATCAACTCAGCGCTGTAAAATTAGCCAGGCTGGTGCCACCTAGTGTCTCCTCTCAATTTCATTTCTCTCCAGTGACTAGGTCAGGAATCACAATACACTAGATGGTTTGCAGAAACCTCGGAAGTGCAAGATCGGGCAAAAGATAATCAGTGAAGAGCCATACATTCTGTGTTGGCAACGAGATTGAGGATTTAAAGTCGGAACAAAGAGAATGTTTGGTGAATTTTATCAACGGGAAAGACGGTATTGCTCTTCATCCTACGGGATTTTGGGTAAAACTTAATATACCAGTTAGCCCCGTTAGCAGCGCATTACAAACATCTCGACCAAATAGCAGCAATTGGTTAAATAAAAAAAGTACCTGCCTCCCGTCAAGCGAATGAACCCTAATGCTGTGAGGTCAAATCGGCTTATGAATTGGGCTACTGTAAAATACGCATATTATTTGATTTATCCACTATATCTACCTAGTACCAAATATGCAAATTTAACTTTCATCAGATCATAATTAGAGATGTAACAATAACCAAAATATTGTATCGTGAAAAGTCTCACAATAATATCGAGGGCTGTGACAATATATCAAATCACAAGTTCCTTTGCTTAAATACATGGTTTTATAGAAGCAACAGCTTATGAACATCAGGAACTACATATCCCATGATTCATTTCAGTGCAGACGATATGAAGAAATATGTTTATTACTTGAATTTTTGGGATTATGATGGAAATAATTCACACCAAAATCTTGTTAAGGTATTTTAAAAGCAAAAAAGTTTCCTATTTACAATTATATAAGCCTCTCCAAAATAACACAATAAATATCATACAGTGACATGCATATCGGGATAATATCGTACTGTTAGATTTGGATATCGTTACATCCCTATTCATAATTCATTGGGTTAATTTGTGTTGCTTGGATTCTCTCTCACATTTCTAGGTAAATAATTTGTTTTGCAATTGGAAGACTTTGCAAAGCAGTATAAATATTGGAGAAAAACATCACAGTGCACAAATACCTAATGTGAAGATATCAGTAGTGGTGTAACTGCTGTTTTGTGGTACGGACATACCTTTTATACGTTTGTCCAAGGTCAGAATCCTCATAAAAATCTCTCACCTTGTTCGAGTTGAACCCTTTCTACTTAACACCTCGATAACACACAGCTTGTATTCTCAATCACACTCACATTCCCACCACATGCAGACAGCAGCATCTAACAGAGGAATGATATCCCCCCAGGAGCTTTTCCTCTGCACCTCGGCCTTTTGTTTTTATTTCTCTCTCTCTTTCCCCTCCGCTGCCTCCTCCTCATTTTCTTTGAAGAACAAGAAGTATTGCTGTACATGCGGGGAAGCTGCTCTGTCGCTATCCTTATTGTAATTTTTTTCTCTCTCCTCAGCCCCTGGTTCAGAGAGCTGTCAACTGTGACCGCCACTGAAAGGATGTCACAGAGAGGAGAGAGAGAGGGAGAGAGAGAGATTGAGACTAGCAGGGATGAAAGGCAGAGGAGGGGTTGGGCTGTCGAGATGGAGGACCCTAGGGAGGGCACCGGGGAGCGATGGCATGCTTGTTTCTTTGTGCCCGAGCAAACGCGACAAACAACGCAGCGAGAGGAGGTGATGGAGAAGAGAGGAGAGGGAAAGAGGCAGCTCAGGGGGGAGGCAGCGGGGTCGGAGCTGCTAATTAAGCGTGGCACTAGCGCTCTGTGGCACTGACATAATTGGCCCTTGTTGGTGGTCCTTGGCGGGGGAGCGCTCAGTGGAGGAATTTAGGTCCAACATGGTGTAATAACATGGTGAAGAGTCCCTGATGTAACACTAAAGTAAGTCTGCTCATTCTCCCTCCAAATCACTGATTCTCTGTGTGTCTGCCGCCATTGGCCTGGAGCTACAGTAGACATGTGTCGCCTCTGACGCACAAGGATCCAGCATCTGCTCTTCCAGCATTAGAGAGGGACCCTACCCACATCCAAGGGCAGCCTCTAGTGCATCAGTCAAGGCTTTTTTAACCTCAGCCAAGATCTCAGTGTATTGGCATCCCATTGTTGAGCAAGATTTTGTAAAGGAGACAAATATTCCTGAATCATTTCCCAAAATGCACATCTTTTTATTTTAATACCTGCCTTTAGATCAATAACCTATTAATATCTGGATGATCCAATATGCATTTTTTGGAGCATATACTGACTTTTATCTTGCTTCTGTGGCCTATATTTTAACATTCATAGCAGGGCTCATGCATTTACGCCAACATTCACAAATAAACTTTTCACTTTTGTAATTCAGAAAGTATTTACCTGGGATATAAAGATGCTGGATAATTGTGTAAACATCCTGCCATATTTTTAGCCTAAGATATAATGCATGAGCGCAGGCTGTGGCTAAATAATCTTTGAATTTTCTCTATTAAATAAAAAATTTATGAAGAGGCAATCAGTGTTTTATGAAATTCTTATTTTCATACCTAATATAAAATTGCAGCGCTGTAACATCTATTATATTTCTGACTAAGTGCTAGTTGCTGTTTCCTTTACTGCAGTGGTTGTCTGTGGAATTACAGAGCCCTGTTTCTAATTAGTGTAATTATTATGTGATTATCAACACTGTCTGCATTTAGAGCATGAGGATAAACAGTACTTAGAACTAACAATAAAATTAGCCCAGAGTATGAAATTATAATCATGTATACATGCATGGAAAATGCTGGGCCTATAGAAAATTTGCAAACACCAAAATTCATTGAATACTGATAAGACTGCCCAAAGTCATAACCTCGTCTAAAATGTAATCCATTCCTTCCTGAGGTTTATGTAGAAGCACCAGTGTCTGACATGATCTTCCAACAGCTTAAGGTGTGTGTGAATAGTCAGTTAAACGCAAACAGTGGAAAAGGCATCACGCAGAAATGAAAGTGTTCAGTGGCGTAGAGCCGGGAGCTTATTGAAGCGGACATTTTAATCAGCTGCCCTCCAGGGGTGAGGCTGATGGGTGAGGATGGGGAGGGGAGGTGGGGTGCAGAGACTTTGAAGGGGTGCAGTGGTGACAACAAGGTCTGGCTAGTGACACCTCCAACAGCTGCTTGTGAATCCTGCATGAAGGGAGGAAGAACAGAGAACAAAATGACAGGTATTCAGTGTGATCAAAGTGCTTCACCTGCGTCTTCTGAAGCACAAAGAGATACGCTCCAGGCTCGCACAATATGGTCCACTGCAAGTAGCAACAATGGATGTAACTTTGAGCACACAGTGAAGGGGTTACTTTGCATAACTGACATTTGTTTGTCTGTCACAATAAATACTATATCGACTTACCATTCAATATATGTCAGATAGAACCATATATTTTATATTGTTATATATAATATTTATCACAGGGACTTTTTCTTTGAACTAGTGGGAACATTTTTGTTATTTTTCTTTTCTACATTGAGATTTGAGTTGAAGAAGGTTGACTCACCTCTGTGACTCATTACAGATCCAAACTAATTAAGTGTCATTCTGTTATTTATTACAGCTCATGTTTTTTTAAGAATATTGTAGTTTTATATTCATAATATTTTTGTGGATAATTCTTCTTTATGGATTGATTTAAATATTGTCATCAGTGTTTTCTTCAGCAATATATTGCATTTCAAAATGTGTTCTTGTGACGTTTGTTGTCTCTTAAATTTTTATGTCCAAGTGCTGCATCGCCATCAAAAACTCCAGGAGTTAGGCTCTGTTTTAAACTTTTAATCTGTATGTGAGCGTGTTGTAATCCATTAAGAGCTATTGCAGGGGCAGACATTTTTTGTAACAGGAACTCAGGTCTTGATGTGGGTCTTTACATAACATGTACATAACATTTTTGTGTTTAAATGTAGTCTTCTAGTAGTACCCTAATGACATTTCTTGAACACTATGGCATTGCCCTTTGAACAGTTTCAGATGAGAATGGATGTCTTAGAAAAAAGAAGGAAATCTTTGGGGAGTGCTGATGTTTATGTCCATATTCACCAGACATAGATTTGCTCAAAGCGCTACTAAGCATTGTTTTCATAAAAACAAATGTTATTTTTTATTATTTTGAGATATTTTACTAAAAGTACTTAGTTTGTACTACAGAAAATACAAGGAGTGTAAAAAGCCTGGGAGATTGTGAAACATTATTAATTGTATATTATTTGAGTTTTGAACTTTTCAGGCACTGCCAGTAATGAACCCCAAATAATCTTTTCAGTCTCACAAATGCACCTGCCACACACCTTCCCCGTTGTTGTTTGCTTTGTGCGCTCCTCTGGCTGGCTCTGCACACATCTCCGTTGCTTCTTAGATTACCACGCTGTTGACACAGCTTCCCAGTGCAGTTCAGTGTGTGGGATTCATTTCACTGAACAAATTGGTGTCAAACATCTCACTAACTCTCCTAGCGCCTAATCAATAGGGAATTCATGGTGTGAGTGGGTGTCATCTCTCCATCTGTGTCCTACTTGTTACAGTACCAAGCGTATCTCAGTGTTGCCAGCCATCTGCCAATTTTTTTGTGCGCTCTTATTGTCATTTAGATTTGTCAGGCAGCTTGGCACAACAGAAGCTGCTTACTCCTCCGCTAAACACCAATGCCTTCACTGTGGCACAGATAACCTGCTTGTTAACACTTATAGACAAATGTAAATAATAATCAGGGAGGTTAGGATATTGTATTTTGTTTCCTTTTAAAGGCATTTTTGGGAATTTGGTTTCAGCTTTTTATTCTGAACACAGTAGCAGATTTTTGTTTATTTCTGGTTATGAACAGTAACATTACACCATATAGTTTACTAAACTAAGAATGACTGACTTGATTTCATGTTTTTCTGTTTTCAGGTTGATATCAGTGGAAGAGATGACCCTTGTCTTGTCCATGAATCCCTTTTTGGATCCAGAAGGAGACCCTCCTCTCTCCACACTGCAGCAGATCTGGGAATCAGAGCGCTGTCCCAAGAGCTGCCTGTCAAACTCCTCCCTGCCGTGCAGCTCAGAGGAGCCGTTTACACGAGGTGTGTGCACACCCCATCACAGATGTTCACTTGGATATTTGTACTGGAAGTGCAATAGGTGCACATGAGTGTAAGATGTGATGTAGCAGCAGGTGCTCCTGGTGAAGTGCAATCAGGAAATAAACAAGCTAGCAGGTTAACAGCATGTGTGAGAGCGCATAGTGCTAACATGCCAAACGAAGCTGTTTAGTATTTTGTGTTTGTGTTCTGTGCTTTTACACAGTGTTGTCTTGTCTTTCTCTTAGAGCCACATTGTAGGCGAGTTCCTGATCACGTTTCTTTGTCAAGAATCGCTTACTTTAAGAGGAAGTTTATTGATGATGAAGATGAAGCTCCTTTCAGATTTCGAACATACTGCCAGACTGTAAGTATTCAGTGAAGACTGCTTTATATTCTGTGTAAAATGATAAAAAAAGGCACTATGATTTTATTTTCTCAACCTAAACTAAGTGACAGTAGTGCACTTTTGTAAAACAAACTCACGAGCGGCTGTTCTTTTACAGGTTGCTCCAGTACTGGAGGAGAGGGCCCATGTGCTCCGACTCTCAGTTGAGAAGATGAGATTTATTGATGATCCTGAGGCCTTTCTGCGCCGCTCAGTTCTCGTCAATAACCTCCTGCGGCGTCTGCGAGCTGAGATCCTGCTCCAGAGCACAGACTGGTGTTTCCCCCCTAACCCCGCGTTAGCCGCCGGGCCCTGTGTCCTCCCTCCCAGCTCCAGTCCGCCCCACCCAGCTCTCCATGGCACCTTACCCCCCAGGATCTGCCTCCCCCCTCAGCCTGGACCACCCCAACGCAAGCGCTACCGGATGATGCGCGGCCAGGGCTTTCTCCGGCCCGACTGTGCTCAGACGTGTTGTTGTATCTATGCAGCAGCTGCAGCAGGACACTACCTCCACCTGCCCTTCTCCATGTACGACGCAGCCCTGTCCGCCTGCCCCACCACACCACACTCCCCCTCCTTTCTCCAACTGGCCAACCACAGCAAACTGGGCTTCACTATTGATGTAGAAGATCACGATGAGGAGGATGAAGAGGTGGAAGAGGAGGAAGAAAATGAAGAAGATGAGGAGAGAGAAGAAGAGGAAGGGGACGAAAGACAACAAGCAGGGACATCCTTTGCTTTAATGAACAAGTCCAGTTCAAAAAGGACTAGGACTGCACCAGGTAAAAAACAGACCCACAAAAGGACAGAGGAGGAGAGCTGTATGAGACACAGTATTGAGGAAGAGGAGGAAGAAGAGGAGGAAGAGGACGCAGACATTTCAGAAAAACAGGTCCAGAAAGTTAGCATTTGGCACCGAAGAGCTCATAGACAATAATGTCACATTAAAACTGGAAAGTTGTCTAAAATGGCATTAACATGTCTCCGTTGTAAGAAGCTATGCCCAGTAGAGTTACGGTGTAACCTGCTCGTACCATTGTCACGCTGATGGACAGCTCAAAGACCCACGGGCCTGACACACTCGCTCTTCACCTATTCTGTACAGAGAAGTTAGTCTGGTACCTCTTCAGTAGAGTCAGATTGAACTGACCTGATGCATGGCAGCAGCACATACAAACTCAACATTTAAGGTTATGGCACATCACAAAGCCTCCGCTTTTATAAATGTGGTAAAAACAGTTAAGAGCAAATCAAACACAGTGTACTGGTACCAGATGTACTTCCTCTGTATTGAATACAGTGAGAGTGTCTAATGGCCAGGCTAGTATACAACGTGGATGACAGGTTCAATTTCTCGACCGCCATATATTTGTTGTAACATTTTAGATGGCTCAAGATAAAGTAGTAAACAAAACAACTGAGGATCAACAAGGTGTGGCTTAAAGGGTTCTTACTCTGTCCATCTTTATATATGATTTATTATGATCCCAAGGGAGCTTTATTTTTATAGACCTTACATAGCACACAGCTTCAAGCTTCATTTGACTCTGTAGAAAGCACATCTTGACCTAAGCACTGGAAACAGTTTAAAATTATAACATTTAAAGGTCATCCTCAATAAGATCGTAGATCTAGGCATCTGAAACTTGCACTGTCTTTAAGACGACTTCAAGTAGTTGAGCACAAAACAGAAAAAAAAACACATCTAGGCTTTGTATTGGTGCGCCGGTCTCTTTCTGGACCCTAAACAAGCTGATAAAATGAAGGAATGTGTGCTTGTATGTGTGTTGTGAACAAACGATGTAGCATCTTTAAACTTGATTTAAGCCGTTTTACAGATAGTCTAATGCTTAGGGTGTATTTATGCTGTCTCAGGCAACAACACTCAACTGCTGCAAAGATAGCACAATGATTTTGAGACAAAACAATCAATGTTACAAATGTACATCTCTAAAGAAACAACACAAGTGCCTTATTTTTAATGGATCAACATTGTGCATCATTTTACTGTTCTTGTAGCTTATCTCGCATTCCCAGTGACTGCACTTGACAAACGGGACTCAAAAATGAAGGCAGAATTCATCTATATGTTTTCAGTGACACATTTGATCTCATGCCCAAATGCCTCACTTGTTTTACTTGCATGTTTTAGCACTACCAGCTCTGCACAGTGCAGTGCATAGGGAAGGCTGCAATTGGGAATAGTCTTACAACTGTCAGCTTTCATAAACATTCATTTGCTATTACCAACTTTTGACGAGCACTTCTAATATCAGTGCTATTTAAATACATCATTTCACATAGCCGTGAATTTTGTCCATACATTTTCTCTTTCATGAATAACTGAGCCAATCAAGAGCTGATTCTCCATGAGGCCGTGATGAGCGGTTGTTGCAGACCCGCTCCTTTGTGTCCTGATGCCGTAATAAGTGGTGTCTTGTGTGTCATTGTATCTTGTTTGGCACTTCAGAAGAATAGGCTGCTCACACTAATTAGCACCCAAACCAAAGCTGATCTTGAGTATATCAGTCAATAGTATTTTGATTTTCCACACTTCAAATTGTTTGTTTATTTCATTTTAATTTTATTAGTTTTTACATTTTCTATATGTTTTTGGTCTCACTTTATATGACACTACACGTGACACTTTAGGCTTACCTCATTAAGTACAATGCAACAACTTGACTAATAACATGGTACTAATGGTCAGGAGGCGAAGCATGACAAAATACTGAATTCATAATGAACTTAGTTTATTAGGAATGATTCAGGCTTAGTAACTAGTTAACGAAGGTCTCAATCATTATTTATTCATTATGAATTAAGTCTTCATTCATGCTTTATTAAGGCTAATTAAGCTGAAGTGTTACCACAGACTGCTACACGGTATGTTGGGTTCATGTTACACACTATTCCAGACTGTTAGAGTGTTACAGCAGTTAATGAGGTAGGCTGAATGTAGTGTCAAATAAAGTTACTCATTTTCTTTTCATTTCCACGCATCTGAGACTGTTGTGATTAGCTTATCAGACATTTCAGGACAAAGCAGTGGGTGTTTCTAAGGGAAAAAAAATAAACATTTACAAAGCATTGTCGTTATAAAAAAAGCAACAAAAGAGCGAGTCAGCTCTGAAAACTTCTGTGATGTTTTGTGACAAGTGTAAAGTAAAAGAATTGTCGCTAATACGTAGTCTGTTTGTCTTTTGTACCTTTTCCTGACCTCATTGTGTGCCTGTTATAGAGTTACAGAGGTGATGTGTGTTACAGAGTGGATGTGTGTTACAGTGTGCGTTACAGAGCCGATGTGTGTTACAGAGCTATTATGTGTTACAGAGTGCATGTGTGGACTCTGCTTATTGTCTTGGGTCCTGATGTCTCGTTGCTTGTTGAGAGGAGCGCAGCACGTTGGTGTATTGCACTTGGCAAATATCTCTCAGGTGTCACTTTGCCACTCAGTTGTTGTTCATCTGTGTGACATTAGCCTCAGAGCAGTCACCTCCGCACTCCTGCGTGCTCTGCCTGTCACTTCTTTGTCCCTGCACTTCTCGTGGTAGAACAAGACTCTCTTCACAACATGAGCATGCAACAGGAATGCCAATATGCCGATAGTATCAGCACACATGGAAATGCTTACATTTCTCATAGAACAAATAGAGATTATAATAAAATAAAATGAGCAAGCTTTCAGTGTCTTTCCAGTAAGGATTTGGAGTGATTCCTGCAAGTTGATTTGATTGTTTATGTGCTATAATTGAACCTTGACCCAGACATTTACAGGCTTATTTTGACTCCGTTCTGATAAATTGCCATCCATATAGGATATATATCACGTGAAACTACATATTGGTGCTGCCATAAAACATTTCTTGCTAAAAATAACATTGAAGCTTGCAGCTACAGTTTTTAGCATTATTTAAACTGCTTTACTACACCAACAAACAGTACGGGAACTATCCAAGCTTTTATTTTTTAACTTTAATTTGATATTGTCTTTAATCAAGGCTAATTTCAATATTAGTATCTGTACTTATACTATATAATGTAAGCCTATTTAATACTACTAATAATATTTCTCTATTTATTACAGTAAAACAATGCAGATTCTATTTCATTAAGAGTTAAGTTCAGTTAATTCTGACGAGAAGAGGATGGAGAGACTGAGGTGGCTGTTTTCCTGCTGCAAAGAAAAGGAGAGACTGAGCGACACTGCTGGCAAGAACGAGAGAGAAAGTGCATTTAAATGACATAAGCTATTGTGAGAAGAGCGTTTGAGTGTGAGTGTTGTACATACACTATTACATGTTGAATATAAACCTCACTTTCAATATTTATGCATGTTTTCTCTGCTCTCAACATGCACTCTACAGACTGTATTATTTCTAATGCAGCTTTGTCATGCACTAGCAGCAGCTCAGGTAATGTGCTAGCCTATAGTCTGTGTTTGTGTGTGTGTGTGTGTGTGTGTGTGTGTGTGGGCTGGTGCATGCGCCGGGAGGATGTACTAACAGCGTGAAGTGGGGAGGTTAAATCACAGGTCTGAACATCTTGACAGCTCTGTTGCGAGGTGAGGAGGGAAGATCATCTTTTTCACGACACTTGTGCCGCGGGGGTGTGCGTCTCCTGCCGCTCCGCTCTGCCCCCATGCCTCTGTTGTTTCTTACTTTGACTGAAATCATTTTATATTAGAGATGTCGCTGAATGATGCAGTTGGAATGACAATTAGATGGGGAGAGTAAACCTTTTCACAGCATAAAGAAGTGTTTCTACGACTTGTTAACCTGTACAATCATGAGTTTAGGTTTTTATGTAGCTACTGAAAGATCAACAATTATAGAGCACAGACCTCTGCCAATGCGTTTAAAATGATCTGTTTTTAATTGTTTCATTTAGATGTGAATAAGTTTGTAAAATATAAAAGTCAGATCACTATTTCAATTTGATCACAATCACAAAAGAAGTACATTACCGAGACTTTGTGTCCTTGGCTGATAGATTTTTTTTTAAACAAAAGAAAGAAACACAACTTTTTTTTTCCAGTATGACATTTTCGACCAGCTCATACATTTTATATTCTATTCTATAGCCAAGAATCTTATTACCAGCACCATTGATGTATATCTTTTAGGAGTCACTGAGGGCATATTTGACATTGTTGCTGCTTCTGTGACTGTACATCTGCCCACAACACAATGCTCTTTCTTTCTTTCTCTGTCCGTCCTGCCTGAGGCGAAGATGGGGACTTGCCAAAATAACATACACTTACACACGCACGCACACACACACACACACACACAGACATGCACCAGGGCGAGTGCCGAGGAGCGCCGAGCTGTCATTTGTCAACAAGGAACTTTGGCAGCCCGCCGTTGCCATGGGAACTGTCTGTTACTGAGGACTGGTTTTGCATCACAAGGTCCTCAAATTGGCTCCGAAGCCTCTAAGGTCCCACCCCCCCCTCCTTCTCCTCCTCCATCCAGCTCACCTCACAGCTTCAAACATATTGTAAGCTTTTGTCTGCTCTGCTCGCCCTGTGCAAATGCCTGGTCAAGTTTCCCTACAATAACATCTGCGGAATACAAATAAATAGGATACAAATATTGGGAACAAACCAGCTCGACCGTTTGGCCCGGGTCCTTTGTCGTGTCAGATTTTCATCCTTGTCACAGTAGACTCCCATAGGATCTGTTTCATTCAGATTATATAAGAGGCCATGACTGTTGTTGATGTTTCTAGGTCTCTCCGTGAGGCAGAATGCACCAACGTTCGCAGAGCTGTTGGTATTTGATAAACAGCTACAATGTGTGTAGGATGTCCCCAAAACAATACTATGAAAGGACTAATTCCATCTGAGTACAGCTTTGGAGTGCCCATGAAATGTACCATGAAATTGAACTGGTTACAAGTCATGTTTGCGACTGTGCTGAGAAAAAAAAAAAAACTATTCACAGGATGCAAGATACACGCAGCACAGACATTTTACATGGAATTAATCTCTTTTGAACAGAAATTGTAGTTTTTTTGTTTTGTTTTTGTTTTTTCATTTTGCTTGTGTTTATTGCACTGAAAAACATGCGTCATTACCACAGACTAGTAAATCGACAGTATTTCAAATAGGAAGTGAGCAAGGGGGCTCTTTGGGCTCCACAGACTCTGGTTCTAATTGATTTTACATAGAAAAATCCCTTCTCTCTAAAGTGTCTACTGCAGTGAGGCTCTTCATTTTGGTCTTAAAATGTTCATATTAACCAGCTCTACATGATCCTGGTGTTTTTATTTTGCTGTTTTGTCCATAAATAAATATGAAACTTGACTCCAAATTTGCTCCTATCATCATGAACTTCATTTGACTGGAGCCAAACTCTACAGTATGGGTGACGTCACACTCCCTTAGTCCACTTTACTTTACTTTACGCTTCTACACAAACACTTATTTTGCATAAAACATATCTATCTCTATGTTAGAATGTTCCTAGCCTGTGCCGCCGCTCAATTTAATTTCTCTCCAATGACTAGGTCAGGAATCGAAATACACTTGACATTTTGCAAGAACCCTGGAAGTTGTAGAGCACGCACATGCCAATCAGCGAAGAGCAGTGAAGCCATGACATCAGACTCAAGTGCCTGTCTGGGTCCCTTTTGTGACAACACAACAGTAAATAAAGCGGTCGAGATGGATGTAGACGAAAACATACATTCTGTGTTGGCAATGATTCCCGAGATTGAGGATTTAAAGCCGGAACAAAGAGAATGTTTGGTGAATTTTATCATGGGGAAAGACATTATTGCCCTTCTTCCTACAGAACTGGGCACATTACATATGTCATGACCAAATAGCAGCGATTGGTTAAAAAAGAAAAGTACTCAATCCTAATGCTGCGAGGTCAGATGGTTTCCACGAAGTGAAACTGGCAGATGAATTAGACAAGAACGTCCCCGAAGTAGGGTTTTAATTTTCTTTTTCCATGGAATCATGCAGGTGACATATCGTACGTATTGAAATAAAACCAAATTAACGCTATAAATGAAACCATAAAAAAGGAATTAAACAGAATAATTGAAATGTTATTGCATATAGCGATTCCTGAAATGTTCTATCTAGAGTATGGCATCAAACTTACCTTGCATTTGTTCTTACAGGAGTTGCTAAAAACATACATCTGTACAAGGATCAGGGTCTTTTCAACATAAATCTAACCTGTAAATTAGTCTGTGGTGGCATCAACTGCTTGTAGGTAAATTTTCATGGACTACAAAATGGAAAATAGTGTACAGTATGTATAGATAGGTACATATAGGTACCATGTTGTTTGGTTGGTAATTCGTGGAGTAACCTAACAAGTTCACAAACTTGTAAGAGAAGAATAAGGTTTCTCAGGTGTGAATGAAAGTAAACACAACTTTCTAAAGAAGGAACAAAATTATAACAGAAGTGCCTATTATTTTTTCCACCTCGGTAGTTCCATGTCATCCCCTTCATCGTCACCGCCGACCAATGTCCCTGTCTTAAAACAGCAGTAATCTCACGTATTTTTTTCTCAAGCATGAAGGTGTTAACGGTAAAAACAGTCTAAAAACACAACCTGGAAGAGATCAGTGTTGTTCAGTGTTGCAACATAAGGTAGCAATAATGGCTGAGGATAGGAGTGAAAGAATGAGGTGAAGAGGGAGAGAGTGGGGGTGGGGAGAACAGTGGCCCAGAGCATCTGCATGGTGTGGTGTCCTCTCTTAACCTGCTTCTATATATATGTCCTGATGCAGCCCTTTTGTCCTGCCACAGCAAACTCGACTGTCCAGGGATCAGGCTTCGCACGGGCTCCGCGGACACTGCACCGACGTTCAAGTGATTTGGTTTTTGACAGACAGCGTTGAAGTATTTTATTGACAATTTTAGCTTGTGCCATATTTGGTCACATGACAAAATTATAAGGTTGAAAATGTACGGAAATATTATGTGTATTTTAGTTGTCCAGATTTTGTTAATTTAAAGGTGCACTGAGTAATGTTTTTGGTGCTTACTTTTTTGGAGATGTTGTGTTTTGCTTTGGTAAAATGGTAAAGGGCCAGGTTTTTCAAGGAACCACTCACCCATTCACTCACACGTTCATATACTAGGGTGAGATGGGTTGTGTGTTGCCAAATGACACAACAGCCAACCTGTGAGTCAGCGGATATG